TTTCTTCACACTTTTTGATTGTTTTCACTTGTCGATCAAAAACGTTACGAATCATACTCTCATATATTCGAAAATCGAGATCACATGAAGCGCGAGAGGAGCACCATTGTTGATTCGATCATTATTCAAGGATTCGATGTCTCAAGCTGATATATCATACAGGTAATTTAAACGATTTTTTTTCGTGAATCGGTGTTTATTTGATTTGATTCAGTTTTGAACTCTTTGATTGATTGTGGCTTGATTGATTCTACGTACTTGATGGATTGAGCTCGTATACCAATCCTGAAATTTGATGTAAAATTTGTCATGTGTGAGTGTTGATTTCTGATGGATTTGATCGTTGATTCTGTAATTGATGTTTGAATCGTGTAAATCTAGGTCGTCTCTTACTTGCTTTTTGAGATTGACTGTAAATTTGCCGTTTGTTCATAAAATTACAGTCGTCTCCATTACTTGCCACTAGATTAAGCTGTTCATATACATAAATTCTTACTTGAATTCGAGAAAAAATTTAAGAATGCTTTATTGATTGCAAATGTTTGCTAATCATAATTGTGCAAAAACCTATTTGTGATCTGATGAATTTGAACATGTTTACAAGCATATGATATATAACAGGTATTAGTAATATTCACCAGTACTTGCTACTAGATTAAGCTGTTCATATACATAAATTCTTACTTGAATTCGAGAAAAAAATTAAGAATGCTTTATTGATTGCAAATGTTTGCTAATCATGATTGTACAAAAACCTATTTGTGATTTGATGAATTTGAACATGTTTACAAGCATATGATATATAACAGGTATTAGTAATATTCACGATCGATAATACCAGGAAACGCTGCAAGCATTATAATGTATGAGCATAGATTTATCGTTTATATATCTAAGTCGACGATGAAGATCAAATTGTTGTAAACTTCATGTTCTAAAACACTCGATTTTAGGGGTTTTTTAATGAGAAAACGTTAATGTGAGACTCTAATTTTGTGATTGGTTTCGCTTCCCTCAGTTTGTAGTTGCACGGGCATCAATCGTCACTGTTGCTACATATACACGTCGCTACATATACACGTCTTATATGTTACACAACGCATTTGGACAATGGTTATTTGATTTCAACACGACGTAAACATAAGATTGTTATTTTGAGCTATTATGCAAGTTTAATGCTTATCTATGAACAAGTTTTAGGGTTTACCATCATAAGATATATACACAGACCTGACTTCTATCCCAAACAGTATAACATAAAACATAGACTTCCATCATTGCATTAGTTCAAAGCTTTAGACTTCAATAGTAGTCATGAAGGTGACTTGTGTGTGGTTATAAAAGCTATCAGTAAAATGGATTCATACAATTAACTTGTGATTGTATTTGTTCAATTCCCCATCTTTTGTTTCCTATAAAACCGAATTACAATTATATACTTTCTACAACCGAGTTTTATCTTAACGCACTTTGTTTATTTGCAGTTGCGGTTCATGTGGATACCAATTGAACTTGTCATCTGCAAATAAGTCATCGGGAACAACTTCTGAATACCGTGAATCCATCAAGAAAGGTTCAATCTCCTTCCAATCCATTGATCCGAGCCGATTCACCCAAATAGATGAGGTATCATGCATTCCAATTACTTTGGGTCGTAACGCTTTAAAAACAAAGCTTATGTGTCGTCAATGTGGTGTCCTTATCGGATACGGATATAGAGAGGGGAACGCTCAATGCGTTTTTGATTCACGTATCTCATCTGATCCGTCTTACAAGAAGGTTGTGGTAAAGATTCAAGCGTTACAACCTTCAGATATTGTTAGTTAGGTAAAACTTACATCTTTAACGACTACTTTCATAATGATATGAAAGTAGTCGTTGAAGATGGTTCCAAAAATGTAAATATTTTAGTTTCGAAACACATGATTAATGTTTCTAACGAATATGTTGGCGTATAAGTTGTTATCGTATGCTTGTGATTTCAAATATACAAGATTTTCCTTGATTGTTGTTCCATACATAATTTTACGTGCGATTAATGTCTACCAACGTTGTTCATACAATAACGCATAGTTCAAACTATGCTGAAACCGACAATTTTAAAACAATGAAATTATATGAACTAGTTCAGTTTCGATTTAGCACCAGTCTGATCCTAAATCGAACTGTAGTTTGGAACCACTTGTTTCTTCTTGTGAAATGGAAGAAGAAGACAACTAGTTGTAAACAAAATTGCAAATGTTTTTTATGTAGTTTCTTTTGAGTAAATTACAAATTTGGTCCATGTGGTTTGTCAAAAATAATATTGTTTGTTTTTGTAGTTTTGAAAAAAACAATTTGGTTATCGAGGTTTGCAAGAACATCTGGATTTGGTTCTCTCTTTATCGGTCATTAAAAAATTCTGTTAACTGAGGGATATCTTTGTCCTTTTATCGACTTTTTTGTCTCTTACCCAATAAAAAACAATATGGACCAAAATCATGAAATCAATTTTATTGGATAAAAGACAAAAAAAAAAAATATATGACAAAAATTCCCTTCATTTTACGTAGCGTTTTAATAACCATTAAAGGGAGAGACCAAATTTAAACGTTTTTGAAAATCACGATAACAATCGAATGTGATTTTTAGGCCTTCTTTTTGGACCAACTCCAACTATAACCACAATAAAAGTTAAAATATTGATAAATTAAGATTGTTTTACTGTTTTTATCAAAAACCACAAAATTTGCCAACAAAATACCAAGAAAAGTTTATTAAAAAACAAAATACCATACAAATTTAATCGGTTTGAGTGGGACAAAAATATGGATGAGTGACTAAAAATAGGTGAAACAAAAATACGAAGATTAACAAGATTAATAAATTACTAAATTATCGATGTTTATTAAACACCAAATCAATAAAACCCTATGCAACTATTTCATCTGCCCACCCATCCATACATGTCCTATCCAGTTTTTCCCGTCTATCTACCAAATAGACCTAAGACACTTTTTGTGCATGTGTCTTAAACAACACTTTGAAGGAATGGACCTTGCCACCCCTTTTCTTTAAAATCAAGTTGCCTGTGTGTTTAGAGACCATTTATTAAACACTTACTTAGTAAGCGTTTACCAATAAAATTTAAGACTACTATTTATTTATCGGGTGATATTTTAGTCCATCGAAACAATATCATATGCAGAAATTTACCCGGTAAGCGCTTATCGTGGTAAGAGTCGTCGTCCTCACTTACCATATCCATCCGATAAAGTAATGTAACTTGATGTCTACTTACCCGAATAAATGTTTAGTAAATGGTCCCTTACTTAATTTAGCCTGCAAAAAGGTTCCAAAGTAGTTGAGAGTCAAATTATACATGGAACTGGCAACCAACAGCTTTCTTGTTTGTATGGTACAACATTTACCTTATATTCAATTAATCAATAATTAAATTGATTCATATATACAGTTTTTTAAAATTTTATGTTTTATTCAATTAAATTATGTGAAAACTAACTGATAAATACGTCCAAATACACGACAAACGTTCCAACCTCACTAATACAACTAAATACTCCATAAAAAAACCATAAAAATAAAATCAGAGGGATGGAAAATAGTAGTAGTAGGAAATACGATTGACAGTATACAACTAGAATTTGGGTTTTTCAACAACTAAATATTTCACCACATTCTATGTCAAAGACCAACATTCGAGACAATATATGACATATCATATATATATATATATATATATATATAGGGATATTTTGTAAACCAAGTCATTTATATAAACTGTGAAAACCGTCAATTTCATTATTTATTTTGGTGAAAAAAATTCGTGAAATTGTTTAATATGATAATATTGTTTCAAATAATTACGGACATTATCATTCTATTAATTTTAGTAAACAAATTTCATCAACTTGAGAAATACATGAAACAATTTAATTTTCACATAGAAACAAAAATATATGAAACATTTTCATCATTAAATGAATTATTTGAAACAATCTTATCATATTAAACAATTTCATGAAATAATTTCACTAAAATAAACAATGAAATCGACGGTTTTCAAGATTTGTATAAATAGTTTGTTTTGCATTTTATTCCTCCCCTATAATTAATATATATATATATATAGAGAGAGAGAGAGAGAGAGAGAGAGAGAGTGTTCATACGAGAACGGTAACAAAATAAGTGAATAATAAAACAACTTAATCACATTTGGTTTTACACTAAAATTACATATGATTCACACGACTTTGGCCGCGACCTAAAGTCACAAGCCACGTTGCCCGAACACAATTACATTGATTGCTAGTGTAAAATCACATGTGATTTTACTTTACACATAATTTGACCGTTTTTGTATTATCTTATTTAGTTATTGTTTTCATTTGAACCTCTCTATTTCTTTCTACATATAATATGTGTGTATGTATAGGGTTAGGTTCAAAGGAAAACCTCAAAAAAAATGAAAAACTAAGGAATACTTAATAACCGTTCATCTGGACCGTATGCACATGTCCATACAAGTAATTTGTAAGCAATTTGTCCGGTACACACTGATACATAACATGTACACGTGCATAAAACCAAAAAACAACTTCAATTACTTATATACTTATGTGCATACGGTTCAGATAGACACTTACCCGAGTGTTCTTTATTTTTTTTTAGATTTTCCCGTGAACCTCCCTCCTCTCTCTCTATATACACACATATATTAAGATGCGGTTGGTACTCGATAGCGGAAGTTCAACCAAAGCCAGCCAAGTAGGCTTCTAAAACTTATTCAATAAAAGTAAATAAAATATCATATATATATATATATATATATATATTAATTATAAAAATATAAACGGGTCGGATGGGCTTGTCGAAAGAAATTCCATTATTCAAGTCTACCCATTAATGAACAGTGTAGTCCGGCCCACCCATGTTTCCAAGAATAATTATCCAAATCCGTTTTTTTAATGGGCCAAGCAAGCCAGGTCTAACAAGCCGTATTATCCGTGAACAACTCTCTCTCTTATAAACAATATCAACCAATCATTGATCAGTACATGCATCCAATCATGCATCACATCCAAAAGACTTGATTTTGAAAGATATGAACCAAAACCACAAACTTCTACTTGTTCAAGATCATGAAATCAGTTCTAAAAAGGGATACAGAAGTTGGAAAAAAAATTACCCTATCTATGTAGCCAATTGCTTCCATTTCTCAGTCGTTTCAAAGGGGATCAATTGTGTGTATTGTTTCCCCATACGCCATCCCACGAACCAGTTGGTGCACCCTTGGGTGGCTCGATGTAATTCTGAGGTTCGTTAGGTCCAGAGGGTCGAATCTTGTTACGTTTACTTCTAAAACCAAGCAGCCGAAACACAAATCTAGCCAACTCTCCATATAACATTCCTGACCGATCAAACAACTGCAAATAGTATGATCACAATTGAGTTATTTGAAGATAAATCAAGAAAACTGCCCTTGAAAGCAATTGGGATTCAAGGTTTAAACGGATGATTCTTTGATACTACGAGCGTTACATGGGAAATTGTCAAAAACAGCCATTTTTGAAACCTCTCCCCCCCCCCCCCC